ACTGGGACCCGTATGATGTCTTCTGGCTCCTTACTGGCCTTGGTTGTAAAGTGATTCAATCAGACAGTTTTCTGAACTGGAGACAACTGAAGAAAAGCTAGTCCTGTCTGACTATTGTGGTTGATATGCTGGCAACCATAACTGGATCCCCGTCACCACAACGATGTGTTCTTGGTGCTAATGTTCCCCACCTCTGAATTTCTCTTTATTCTATCCCCCATTCTTCCCAAGTCCGCTGAAGCTCCTAGCCCTAGCCCTGTTCTTTACCTCCCAACATGGTGGCACTGATGGTCCCTGGGCTTCTTTGCCTAGGGCAGCAAGTTTTGGGTAGAAGTATACTTCACATTATGGAAGAAATAGTATAGTCTGGACTTCCCTGGTGGCGCAGTGGTTAAGAATCTGCCTGCCAATACAGGGGACACGGATTCAATCCCTGGCCCGGGAAGATTCCACATGCAGCAGAGTAACTAAGCCTGTGCACCAGATCTGCTGAGCCTGCACTCCAGAACCTGTGAGCCACAACTACTGAGCCCTCGTGCCACAACTACTGGAGCCTGCATGCCTAGAACCCGTGTTCCACAGCAGGAGAAGCCCAGGCACCACAACGAAGAGTAGCCCCCACTTGCCACAAGTAGAGAAAGCCCGAGCGCAGCAACAAAGACCCAATGCAGCCAAAAATAAATAGATAAAATAAATAATAATAAAAAAAGAAAGAAAGAAATAGTATGGTCTGAGTCCTTCAGGTTAGTCATTGATGTGTAAAGTAATTTAGAAAGTCTTTCATCTTTTCATGACACCAGGTTTTCACCACAATTTTTTTTTTACTGGAAAAAGAGCTGAGTAATGATTTTTTAAAGCAGGTATCCATCCTCCTGAAGCTCTGAAACCTATTGCTACAGTGGATGGCAAGTCCCATGAGAACAAGATTTAGAGAATATAGAAATATATATGACAATCTCTCCCTCTCTCTCTCTCTCTCTCTCTCTCTCTATATATATATATATATATATATTTCCCCTGCGTTATACTTTCTCTTCCCCATACGCTCCATAAAAGAAAGACCTTGTACACCTTTTTTACTTCTGCACCCGACCTCCTACAATAGTGCATGGCATATAAGAAGGGCATACAGGCTTCCCTGGTGGCGCAGTGGTTGAGAGTCTGCCTGCCGATGTAGGCGACACGGGTTCGTGCCCCGGTCCGGGAAGATCCCACATACCGCGGAGTGGCTGGCCCCGTGAGCCATGGCCGCTGAGCCTGCGCGTCTGGAGCCTGTGCTCCGCTACGGGAGAGACCACAACAGTGAGAGGCCCGCGTACCACAAAAAATAAATAAATAAAAGAAGGGCATACAAGTTTCCTGGGTGGATGGGTGAATGAATGGGGTACAACTGCATCCTGCATTGTTCAGTGTGACTAAATTTAGGAAGAAAATTGTGCTGCTAATAAAAAACTAAGCAGAAATGAGTTTCAAACCACCTAATTGTTTTGTTTGCTCATGCCACTATTTTCTCTGAGTCCAGAATTAACTGTTTCATCTAGTTATTGATCAATGTTACAAAAAGCTAATGCTAATACAAATAATTCTTCAATCTCTGCCCTCACCAAGGGGAACTGCTACACATATAATTCAAATGATCAGATAAATGTGTACCTGATGTGCATGTTTTTAAGTTGAGGAATTTCTGGCCTTAAGGTTAATTTTAAGCAGTCAGACTTGGTCTTACACATTACATATTTTCATTAACACTGTTGCTGCCTAGAGAAAAATTTCCCTCTATTGGGAAATTTGCTATGAGTTGCTATGAGTAATTCAAAATTTTTTGATTCTGAAAGTAATATGAACTTACTGTAGAAAATTTGAAAATTGATAAGAACTTTTGCTTGTTTTGCTGAGTTGGTGGTGGATGTATGCATATTTGGAGAAGCAATTTTTTCTGTATAAAAAAGGAGAGAGATTCTGAGGCCTGAGATGGGGAAGATCTGGAATTGAGGAAGCCAGAAATCAGCCTATCTAGGTACCAGCTTGTCTAAGTGCTACCCAGGAAAGGACAACAAAAAGGAAACCTTGTTTGGCTTGTAGCTGGAGAGAAGGGAGAGATGAAGCATATATTAGTCAGGGTTCTCCAGAAAGTCAGAACCAATAGGAGATATAAAAATAGACTTATTAGGAGGAATTGCCTCACACAATTATGGAGGCTGAGAAGTCCTATTTGCCATCTGTAAGCTGGAGACCCAGGAAAGCTGGTGATGTAGTTCCCGTCCAAGTCAAAAGGCCTGAGAACCAGGAGAACTGATGGTATACCTTCTAGTACAGTTCAAAGGCCTGAACCAGAGAGCCAATGGAGTAACTTCCAGTGCTAGGGCAGGAGACTACCTATGTCCAGCTCAAGTAGTCAGGCAGAGAGAGCAAATTCTCCCTTCCTTCACCTTTTTGTTCTATTCAGACCCTCAACAGATTACATAATTGGAAAGGGAATCTGCTTTATTCAGTCTAGGGATTCAAATGCTAATCTCTTCAGGAAACACCTTCACAGACACACCTAGAAATAATGTTAACTGGATATCTGGACATCCCATGGCCCAGTCAAGTTGACACATAAAATTAGCCATCACAAGGCACACCTGAAGGAAATATATGAAGGGTTGTGAACTGTACAGTGTAAAACTCTCCTCTGTCTTCTTATAAAATCTTGAATACAAAGCAACACTTGGTCTTAATGGAATCCTCCTGGGGAACAAAAGAGATATTGAGTCCTATTTAGCAATCAGTTGCAGGCTATGAAAGAACCATATTAGCCATAGGGACTAACACGGAAAAATCTTAAAAGAAGAAAACGTAAACGCTCTAATTCCACTTTACAACAATGACCTTTATTGACCTTGTGGTATGTTTCTTACCTTCTTTTGCATATGTATGTATATGTAAGTTTGTGAGTATACATATGCAATAAAATTGGGACTGCATCATATAAATAGTTTAATGTTCTACAGTTTTTACCTTACATTAAATCATGACTATTGAATATTATTAAATATTATTCAAAAACATGATATTTAGTGCCTGTGTAATAGTTCCTGAATACAGATATACCAGTTATTTCATTACATCTCTATTATAGATATTTATCAGTTTCCAAATTTTTATTATTACAAGAACTCTAGCATGAATATCTTTTAATGTAAATCTACATGGGCATCTATAATTCTTTCCTTAGGGTCGAGTTTAGCCAGTCAAAGGGCATGAAACTTTTTGACTCTTGATCTATTCTGCCGTTTTGCCAAAACACCTTTCAAAGTGCGTGATTTACACTGTCACTAGCACAACAACAGAAAGATTATTTTCACCTGTTTTTGTAGTTTATATAAATGAAATCACAAGGTGTGCTCTCTTTTGAGTCTGATTTCTTTTCCGCAATACATGTTTGTGAGATTCATTCATATTGTTGCATACAGTTGCAGATTGTTTCTTCTTACTGCTGTTAGAGTTCATTGTGTGACTATACCACAATTTATTTATCCATTGATGAGCATTTGGGCATTTTCCTATTCTGCATTATTATGAATAGTGCTGCTCTGACGTGTCTTTTGGAGAATACATGTCCACTTTTCTGTGGTTAGTTACCTAGAAGTAGAATTGCTGAGTACACACATATTTAACTTTAATAGATAATGTCAAAATTGTTTCTGAAGTGGTCATAACCAATTTACATCCCATCAGCAAGGTGCAAGAGTTAAAGTTGCTTCACATCCTTACCAATGTTTAATATTGTTAGTGGGGTTTTTTTTTTAACATCTTTATTGGAGTATAATTGCTTTACAATGTTGTGTTAGCTTCTTCTGTATAACAAAGAAAATCAGCTATATGTATACATATATCCCCTCTCTCTTGCATCTCACTCCCACCCTCCCTATCCTACACCTCTAGCTGGTCACAAAGCACCGAGCTGATCTCCCTGTGCTGCTTCCCACTAGCTATCTATTTTACATTTGGTAGTGTATATATGTCAATGCTACTCTCTCACTTCGTCCCAGCTTACGCTTCCCCCTCCCCGTGTCCTCAAGTCCATTCTCTACATCTGTGTCTTTATTCCTGTCCTGCCCCTACGTTCATCAGAACCTTTTTTTGTTTGTTTAGATTCCATATATATGTGTTAGCATACAGTATTTGTTTTTCTCTTTCTGACTTACTTCACTCTGTATGACAGACTCTAGGTCCATCCATCTTACTACAAATAACTCAGTTTCGTTTCTTTTTATGGCTAATATTCCATTGTATATATGTGCCACATTTTCTTTATCCATTCATCTGTCAATGGACACTTAGGTTGCTTCCATGTCCTGGCTATTGTAAATAGAGCTGCAGTGAACATTGTGGTACATGACTCTTTTTGAATTATGGTTTTCTCAGCGTATATGCCCAGTAGTGGGATTGCTGAGTCATATGGTAGTTCTATTTGTAGTTTTTTAAGGAACCTCCATACTGTTCTCCGTAGTGGCTGTATCAATTTACGTTCCCACCAACAGTGCAAGAGGGTTCCCTTTTCTCCACACCCTCTCCAGCATTTACTTTTTGTAGAATTTTTGATGACGGCCATTCTGACCAGTGTGAAGTGATACCTCATTCTGGTGGGTATGTAACACTATCTCATTGTGGTTTTAATTTGAGTTTTCCTGATGACTAATATTGAGTGCCTTTTCATATGTTTATTAGCCATTTAGATATACTCTTTTGTGAAGTATCTGTTCAAATTTTTGCTTTTTTTTTTTCTATCCAGTAAGTTGGATACATGCATGCAAATATCTTTTCCCACTCTATGGGTTCTCTTTTTACTTTCTCAGTGGTATCTTTGCATGAACAGAAGTTTTTAATTTTAATATGGTTAATTTATCAATTTTTTCTTTAATGGTTAGTGCTTTTCGTGACTGTTTAAATAATCTTTACCCATTCCAAGACCATGAAGATGTTCTGAAAGGTTTTTTTTTCTCCTTCATATTTAGATTTGGAATCCATCGGGAGTTGTTTAATGTGTATGGTGTGAGGTAAGGGTTCAGATACATTTTATTCCATACAAATTGTCAATTCACTCAGCACCACTTAATTGAAAAACCGTCTTTTACCCTCTGCCTTACATTATTTATTGCCTTTGTTATAAATCAGGTGACCATGCATATGTGGTTCTCTTTCTCCATTCTGTTCCAGTGGTTGATTGGTTTGTGTATTCTTGAACCAATATAATAATGTCTTAATTACTAGAATATCTGGCAGTTTAAGTTCTTCAGCTTGTTTTCAAGATTGCCTTGTTTGCCCACTTTTATAATGGGATACTAGGGAATTTTTTCTTATTGCTATGTAAAAATTTCTTACTTATAAAGTATGTTCATCCTTGCCTGTTATATGTAATATAAATATCTTCCCATTTGTCATTTGACTTTTGACTTTATTTATAGTTTCTCTTGCCATAGGGTAGTATTAAATTCTTACAAACTAAAGTCTATTGATATTTTGTGGTTTTCACCCCCCAACTATTTTTACACTTACAAAATTTTTCCCCAATCCCCATGAAATTTAAATGTGACATTTATATCCAAAATATGGAGCATATGTGACTACACAAAAACAAATATCTTCTGCTTAAAATAATCAGTTGTCCTCTTTATTTTCTAGAGTAGGAAGATGAGGTTCAAGGAGGGAAAGAGGGGAGTCAGTACTGCTTAAAATTAGAAAATGAGAATTCCAAGAAAGCATTGGCTTACTTCCCTGAATTGCATCTGCATGGGTCAGTTACCCTTGGTAGAAAAAAACTGTTGCCCCTATTTCATCTGATTTCTCTGGGCAGGTTACTGACCCAATCGGCAGAGAGGATTGCTATGTTAGTGTTATGAGGAGCTGATGGGTCTGGGTTCCAAGGGCTGGAGCTGAAGCTGACAGCTAGCCAGGATCACCCTGCTCCGGAAGTGATCAGCACTCGTAATCAAGAGCCTGCTGGACAGGGCACTATCCTTGCCTTCAGAAGGACGGTCCCAACGCTGTGGCTCACAGGAGGCTGCCTGGGAGCTACTGGCCAAATCAGTGAGGTTTGTAAATATGCCTGACCAAAACAGCAATGGCAGATCAGCTCACAGAATTCCCTGTGTTTACTGTCTCTTCTGGAAGCACAAGGAGAAAGAAGGTAGTTTGGTTATTTGATTTCTTTTTGAGAAAACCAAACCATTGTAATGATTATTAAGAGAGAGTAGAAGCTCAACCAATGAGGGGGAAATATGGTTTTCATTCTAGATTTATTTTGATCCTGTGCTCATTTTTTTGTCTGCAGGGGAAAAAGGGGGAAGCCATAAAACCCATCTTGGTACTATGTGTGTTGTACTTAGTCTGTGGCCAAAGAGAGTATTTTGTTGTTGTTGTTTTTTATGTACTTTTGGCTGTGTTGGGTCTTCGTTTCTGTGCAAGGGCTTTCTCTAGTTGTAGCAAGCGGGGGCCACTCTTCATCACGGTGCACAGGCCTCTTACTATTGCGGCCTCTCTTGTTGCAGAGCACAGGCTCCAGACGTGCAGGCTCAGTCGTTGTGGCTCACGGGTCCAGCCGCTCCGCGGCATGTGGGATCTTCCCAGACCAGGGCTCGAACCCATGTCCCCTGCATTGGCAGGCAGATTCTCAACCACTGCGCCACCAGGGAAGCCCCAAAGAGAGTTTTATGGGAAAGTTTGCTGTGGGCCAGGGAAGCATTTTCTGTTTCATCATTTTAAAAACAAAAACATTAACTAAAACAAAATCTCTCATCTTCTCCCACAAAAAGAAGAAGAAGGAGAAGGAGGAGGAGGAGGGGGAGGGGGGGAGGAGGAGGAAGGGAGGGGGAG